AGGAATGCCATTGCTTCTTCAGTATTACCTGCTCGCTTTTGATTAAGAGCCTCTCTTTTAAGAGACTGAATTTCACTAAGCAATTCTTCTTTGTCCAAGGTTTGAGACTTCGAAGATGTATTTTCAGGTTCAGTCCAACCTAATGATTCCAAGGCAACAGCTATTTCAGGATCCATCATATCATCATCGGTCACTTCAAAATTACCATCAAGGTCATCAGAAACGGCCAAAAGGCGTTCAAAATCAAAACCATGTCCATGATCATGCAGATCTGAAAATCCTTTATCATCATCCATGCCACGAATTAATGCTGATAGTTCATCATCAGAATCTTCGCCTTCAGCAAGGAGTTCCTGTTCTTCCAGTTCCTTTTCTAAAATTTTAGCTCTTTTTAACTCCTCTTTGGCTTCTGCAAGCTTACCCTCACGCTTCAGCATTAGAGCATTTTTTTTCAGAGCAACAACTTGGGACTTGTCAATCTTGCTGCCCTTTTGTTCACCACTTTTTGTAAAGATTTCTCCAATTATTGATGAGAGTTCACCCTCCACACTCAACTTTGATGACTTTTTGTCTTCATTATGTAGATCCATATCAGACCATCCAAGCTCTCTAAGTTCGGAAGTAAGATCATCATTTTCTCTACCAACATGAGAAAGTGACTTTGTTTTTCTGTCAGACTCTAGAGGAACACCTCTGTTATGCACATCAGATAAGTTTCCAGAAGGCAAACTCTTCTTACGAGTCTTCCTTAAATGAATTTCCAAAGCATCAGCCTGCCTCTCAAGCTCCTTCCCTCTCTTAAAAGCTCTCAATGCCTCCTCAGATTTTCCCTCTCCTTTCAGAATTTTATGCTTCTTTTTCTCCTCTAAAGCTTGCTGACGTAACTCATCAGGAGTGGTGGATCCCAAATCAACACCCGAAACATTAGGCTTATCATCTGAGACAACATTTTGTATGTCTCCATCAAAATCGGAAGTACTCGAAGAAGATGCAACACCAACTGATCTTTGTCTGCTAGGAACTTTGTCACTGGTTTGACCAAGAATCTGGTTCAAAACTTCATCTTCATCTCTAGGTGTTGATTTCAAGCTTCCTGAAGAAATTGAAAAGAATATTTAAAAGTATGGAACAGTGCAGTAAAATAGAATAAGATGTGCTACTCTAACATAAAATAGAATAACCTTGAAATCCATATTAAGTAAAATAAATAAAAATACCTCTCCCAGGTCTGCGTCCATGTCGCAACTCAAATCGTGCTGCCTCTTCAAGCTTCTTACAAGGTTCACATATACGCACAGGCGAATCACCTTGTCCGCGTAAAACCATTCTTTGTTGAGTACATTTGCCGCAAAAGATTCCCCCACACCTCCTACAGTGATGCTGAAACATAAAAGAAAATTGCAAAAATGCAAATAAATAAATTTTGGACAAAGAATTCAATTTTAAGTTCAATCAGCTTCTTCATCTAATAAGCAAACATGGAAAATCATCTTTCAGTACACAGCATGTCATGTTTCACAAAAATGATGAAATGAAATCGACATGTGTATTATTCATTTATTGTAACCAAGGATTCCCTGAAGCTTCAAACTAAAAGTCTGATAAAAGGATTCAACTGGGAAAGCTACAAGCATGATTAATTTTAAGTTATATCCTCTCTTGGGCAAGTGACAGATGCAATGCACAAAGGAAGGAGAATCAAAACTCTGTAATGTGACAAACAATTTATACTTCCTAACTCTACGAGAAAGCAAAGCAAAATTTTCACTTATACACTCCTAAGAGGAAATTGAGCAGCAAATGAACTGCTATTAAACATGGCTTCACATAGCAAAGAGAATTTGTCCATAGAATATTTCTCTTAATCACATTCACAGAAAATCCATGCAATTAACTAATCTGGTTAAGAAAATCAATCAGCCTAACCTGATTATCCCAAACAGATCCACGAAAGCCCCAGCTAAGTTCTAATCACTTTTCATTGAAAAAAATGTGCAAACTTAATACGAAATTGACCATCTGAACCATGTTGCCAATTTCTGATATATTAGGGAGCAAACATTTGGTATTTCAAGTTTAAAACTGTTACCGGAAGTTGTTACAATAATGTGGTCCATTTTTCAGCTTATATTCGACCCATTATCAAATAGCAACGTCTCTGAAACATATTTGGTTAGAAAAACCTGGAACCCACATTTGTGAACATTGCACCGTGTAAGTTGAGCTCTCTGATGGAAAGATTTCAATAAATACCACTTTTGCTATCTGTTTTGGTAACTGAACCTACTCTTTTCTTCCGTGTACAACACCATCGAGCATTAAGAGTGAGGGTTTGGAAAACCGAGTGAGAATATCATGCCGGTGCAACGACTACAACGAGAAGGAATCAAATAGCAATGGCAATAGATTGGTTTTTCTTAATCTCTTGTAGCCTCACTATATTGATCTGAACGTGTATTATTTGTAATGTTTAAGAGTCCATTTCGATACAAACTAGAAGCACTTTTGAGAGCTTCTCAGCTCAGTATTTTCCGGTAGCGAGGCTAAAGTGTGCTTTTAAGTTTGTATCCAAAATGGCTCTAACATTTTAAGATGCTTCAGTCTTTCGTACCATACAAAACAAAAATTCATAAATAAACACAAACGTCCAAACACAGGAAGCCAAGAACCAACTAGCATAACGACATCAGCCACGAAGTACTAACCATTCATGAATAATAAATAAGCGAAAATTTATCGAATTTCAGATTTTCAGAAATACCCACATAAAATCCAGCATTCTGAAGGGAATATTAAACATGGGTTTTGCCTCTAATTGCAAAAAGTGTCTACATGTAGCCTTCGGGAAAACCCCCAAAAGTAAATTATACAGGAAAAAAGTGGAAATCGAAAATGAAAAATGATAATTGGAAATAACCTTGCGATTGATGAAGGTGAACTGAGAGGTACAGCCCTGGCAGTGTGAGGCGTCGACCACCCAATTATTCCCTCGCAGCGAAGGCTTTGGCGGCAACCCGATCTTCTCCAACATGTTGCTCCTTTTTACGTCTTCTTGAGATCAAAAGGCCTAGAAATCAAAAAGAAAGATACAGAACCGCGTTTTGTCACAGTGATGAAAAAGTGAAGAAGAAGAAGAAAAAGTGATGATGGTTGGCGATGAAGATCGCAAAATGAGTTCACGCTTGGTTCCCGTACGCCAATTTGCTCGTAATTGTCAAATACAAAGTACGTCGTCGTTTTTTCTTAATTCAAAATATTTATAAATAAAAAAAAGTATATATTACGGATGAAACCAAAATGATATGGCCTATAAGTGATGGGCTAAGCCGCGAAGGTTTAAGGAATTTTAATTAACCAAAAATAAAAATAAAAAACTGAATCAATTACATAAATACTAATAAGATTTTGAGAAATTGCACAAATAATTTCTACTTTTTATTTTTATAATAATTCTTTAGTTATTTAAAAAGCATTACATTACATCTCTTACTGATTATTTGAAAAATATTATAATTTCATGTTAATAAAACATAAATGTTAATATAATCTTGCGAAATCTCAAAAAGTACGTGTAATTTATTTAAAAAAATTTGTTGACTTCAAAAAAAACATCTATACCTTTTACTAATTGGTTTGTGATCTAAAAGTAATTTGGATCAATGTTATTTACACGAATTTTTTTATGTTTATATCCATTTATTATTTTTGAAAAGACTATATTAATCCTCCCAAAAATACTTTTAACCCTTTTTACCCTCTCCCTCACTATACATCTATACTTTCTCTTTCTCCTTAAATATAATCATTTTGAAAGGGTTAAGGTTGACCTTGCTCATATAGGAATGTTATTCCATTGTAAGCAACGCCATATTTTGTGGTTTTGATAATGAATAGAACAAATACATAAGAGACAACCATCACTTTAGATGTTGAGTCATCTCTCCTACACATACATATTACTGGTGCACTATGTTACCATGAGTAGTCTTCTCCTGATGAGACAATTAATATCTTGATGTATGAGATTAGTGTTGATCACAACATTGAAGGAGTACAAGTGACATTCCAATGGTTGCACAACAAATATTGTTCATGTGTGGATGTCAATTAAGTTATCTTTGCAACAAAATCTTATTTCCTATATTTAGTTGGTTACACAACTTTTTCCCACTAGAGTCCCACACATGTGCTCGTCTTTTCCATGGGACTTTTTCACAATCTTTATAGAAGCTACAAGTATGTATGGAATTCCTATGTGTCGGCTTTCTTGAATGGCTAAGCTTAACATTGTCGACTTGTATTATATGATGCATATTGATTAGGGCGAAAAAGTATGTCGTGACTCGCTATCCTGTAAAAAATTAGTAGAACTAAGTGGACATTCTTGTTTATTGGGCCAATTAGTAGTCGAGATGGGTTGGCTTGCCAGTCTGCTTAATTATTAGTTTTAATTTATTTTGTAACTTGTGGTGTATGTCAGTTTGTGTTGCAGTGTAGTCTTATTATTGAAGGATTATTAGTACTTTAACACAATTTTGTATTATGGTATAGTCTTATTATTATTGAAGTACTATTAATGTCAGCTTTCTTGTATGACCAGCTTAGCATTTTTTACCTACGTCTAATTAGGGTGGAAAAGTGCATCGTGGCATACTAGCTTGCTAAAAATTAACAAAGTTGAGTGAAGATTCTTGCCTCTTGGGCCAGGTTGACCTAGTTGTCTCGCTAACTTGCTTAATTTAGTATTATTTTTTATTTGTTTTGTAAATTGTGATGTATATTACTTTATTTTATGGTATAGTCTTATTATTAAAGGATTATAGTACCTGTGTTGTTGTTCTTAAAGATTATTATGATTTTGTGTTTATAATAATTTTGATTAAAAAAGAAAGACTTTTAGTAATTTGTAATTTATCATTTTTGTGTTGTAGTTTTGAAGTTGAATGACAAATTTATATCATAAATCTTTTAATTAAATTTTGCAATTGTTTAAAAAAAACATGAAATTTTGTATGTATTAATTTGATCGGTCTGTCAACCCATCTCTAAGTGGCACAAGTTAAGATGATGAAAATTTTGAGATAGAACCCTATGAGTAAAGGTGCTAAATGGGTTGGGAGCCAATCAAATTAACTTGATTTATTTTATTTTTATTTTTATTTAAATCTTAAAAAGGAAAATAATTAAAAAAAATATTATGCAAAATAGATCCCATAGATTTAAAGCTTAAAAATTATTAACCCCAAGCGTGTGATTTAGCAGTAGGGGTTGATCCACGCTTAAGCAAGGTCAGGAGTTCGAATCCTGCCTTGTGTATGCAGCCGCGTTAAATCTTGGGGTCAGTTATCTCACTCTTTGAGGTGCCTCCAACGTAGAGAGAAGATTAGTCACTGCTGTCGGCGGTAAATACTCCAGGCACGAACCAAAAAAAAAAAGGCTTAAAAATTATTAGCCTGATTTGGATCGATTCGTTCGTTTGGACCGGACTAAATTGGCATAACTCTTCTCCTAAAACGACTTTGGACTGAGTCATCTTTTACACCCTTTGAAGGACTTCATTGGCTCATTGGCAATAAGGTCAATACTAGATCAATTGCAACTAGAATTCCGACATCCTACGAGGAGCAAGCCTTCCAAAGCATCTCTTGTTTTCTAAAACTTTTTTATATCTCGTCCCTCGTTATGTCCCATCTAAGAGGGTTCTACGACAATTTAGTGACCTTACTACCAATTATTGCACAACACAAACAAATTTCCGTTGTAACTATTCACAACAGAAATGTCTCGGTATAAGATATATTTTTTAAAAAATAATATATTAAGCTGAAATGTAAATTTAACAAAATAGAAAGCGTTTGAGAATAACAAAGCCCAATAATGTGGTTGGAGTTACCATTGCAAAAAGAAAAAGAAAGTTTCCCCACTCGAAAAATAAAACTGAACGATTGACTTTGGCCTAAAATATTTGATATATTGTCAAAATTTACTGCTTTGCAGATAAACTAGCAATAAGCTGAGCAGTAAGGAATCATTTCAAATTAGAAATCCGAGATCATGATCCATAAATTGTCCAAGATAACTATGATGAAACTAGAACAATTTTATGGAGTTAATCATGCTACAATGTTTTCATTAGGCAACAGCCCTTTCACCTCCACCACAATGACCAAGAAAAATAAATTAGTGTTCTGGAAGCAAATGATATGGGGACAAGGGAAAAAAAAAAAAAAGGATAAAACATGGTGATTGTAAACTGGTATTGTCATAACTAACGCTAGGTAACTGGCAATCGTTTTAACTTTCTCACTCGTGCTTGTGATTGAGGAGAAAATAATCAAAGCCACAGCCCCTCCATGAAGTGTTTTGTAATTCCACTCTCCGTGAATCCAATGCTGTCTCCTAGAAATTGGTCTTTGATGAGTTTCAATTATCCACCAAAGACTCAATAACCATTGATCTGAGGCCTTGATGTAGGACCAACAAGTCGTGAAAAAGGCACCTGTGCCCTGCTGCTGCCAGTGTTCAGCCCCCTTTGACCTGGAAACCTATTATCATTTACTTTTGGATCTGATACAGATCTGGAGAATGCTTGAGCAAGTTCAACTGCCGAAGCTGCTCTACTGTGCCGTATGCCAGCAGCACCAGCCGGAGATGATCTAGGCTGCTCCACTGGCTTACGCCATGTCTCAGGTGAAGGTTGCCTCTCACTGGGCTGCTGCGGCCTATCGATCTCCCTCCCATTTCTCCGATTATCACCTCGCCAGTTCCTCCTCGGCGTATGAACCTTTTCACCATCTGCCCTTTGCTCCTTCCTTTCCGGTTTTCTGCCTGTCCTTTGATCAAGATGAGCATCCTCCGCTTTTTCACTGTACCGAGTCTGGGTTGAATGGTCAGGATGTTTCTCAGCCCTCAAAATATTGTTTTCAACCCTTCACACACCATGATTTATTGACAAGCATTGAATCAGACTTGGATCACTATTGAGTCAAATTGTATGGTACATAGAAAGACAAAACAGGCCCTTACCTATTTGAATGCTCGACCACATCATAATTGATTTTTGCAACATCATCAATCCCTCGGTCCTTCAATACCTGTGGGAAATAAAATAATGTCATTGCTGCAATTAGCATTACATGCCACATTCTACAGCACATATATTAGTAAAAACGGTTGTTTAACTGGATATCCCAACCACAACACCATAAAAAAACTAATAATAATAATAATAAAATAATTAAACTCAAGAACAAATTTTAACTGCCATTCAGGATAATATATTAAGGGAAAAACTTACTAGTTCTCGTGGGCGAGCTCCACCAAATAAAGCATTCCTGAAACATTTGCATAAGTCATTCCATTATTATTGTTACAGATATTGTGAATATATTACAGATATTGTGGATACATATATTATGGTTATTATCCTCACTATCAATTAGGGATATGATTAGATTAATTTCCATAATATAAGAGATTAGTATCTCTATCATTTATTGTATTCACTATATAAATAAGATTGGTGTGCGTACAACCACGATGCATTGCAGATACAGCCATACAATTATTCTAAAATTATATAAGATACTACTATACGTAAGATACACACATATATGGACAAAACTTCTGCAAATCTAATAAATAAATATATATATATATATATATAAAATTACAATTCTGCAAATCTAAATTAAAAGATACTTCATGGACATTACTAGAAACAGAAATTATAAATAACTATCATCATAAATCACACCCCATTTTCTACAAATAGGAAGAGTATCAATTTCATTTCTTTCTTGAGATTATCCATAAAGAGGATATCATGAAGTATTCAAGAGTATCAATATCAGATACATATATACTAAGCAAATCAAAGAAAACGTGTTTGATATTATGTAAAGAAGTCACTTGCCTGGAAATTTGTGGAATCAAGAAACTTCAAGCTCCCTGTGTCATGGAGAAAACACTTGTGTAAGGATGACAAGACTAGGGCCCTGAGATGCCAGCACTTGATAGACACACTGCCTGGTTCTTTTAGAATACCATCGTCCAGAATCCTGGCCTTCTTTTTCCGACTCACACTAGACACTTTCACATCTCCACCATCACTAAGATGATGAACACAACTACCAAGCAAGTGTTTGAAGTAAGGAACAAACAATGACCTACAAATAAGGATATAGCAAGATCTTAAAGGACTGTCCTTTAACCATTAATTTGAGAAAACAAAACAAGGTAACATCATAATAGACAGATTATAAACTTATTTCATTGCTGTATACAAAAATAATTAAGGAAATTACATTGAAAATTAATCATCAATTTAATACTGTGACAAAATTGATAAAGGTATCTACCGTCTCAAGTCTCAACTGCCACAAGTGGTTGACATATATTTACAGCTGTTCAATACACAATTTTCATATCTACACAATACATTAATATACATAATTTAATCCAAACCATAGTAGTCAATCCCGGATAGCGGAGCGGAGCGGTCGACCCTAAAAACGGGATAGCGGGATGACGCGGAGCGGGATAACCGCTATTTTAATATTAATTTATATATATTAAATAATTAATAATATATATATAAAAGCTAAAAAAAACTCTAACTTCATGCATTAAACATTTTTAATAATTAAAAGTTCATAGTACTCAAACAATACATAATATAAAATGTCTTCAAAACAAAGTGTTAAAGTTCTAAGTAAGTAAAAAATTAAACATTATAATTTAATCTTCTTCTTTATCAAGATTAAAGTCTTCCTCTCCCTCAAATTCATAACCCTCACTAGCATTAGAAAAATCTGCTGAATTAAATTTAATCAAAAATTAAAAATAAAATCTTCTGAATTAAATTTAATTAGAAATTAAAAAAAAATTGCTGAATTAAATTTAATCAGAAATTAAAAAAAAAATCTGCTTAATTAAATTTAATTAAAAATTTAAAAAAAATTGCTGAATTAAATTTAATTAAAATTTAAAAAAAATTGCTGAATTAAATTTAATCAAAAATTAAAAATAAAATCTTCTGAATTTAATTAGAAATTAAAAAAATTACTGAATTAAATTTAATCAGAAATTAAAAAAAAATTACTAAATTAAATTTAATCAGAAATTAAAAATAAAATCTGCTAAATTATATTTATTCAGAAATTAAAAAAAAAATTGCTTAATTAAATTTAATGAGAAATAATAAAAAAATCTGTTGAAATATAAAATTAGAATAGAAAAGAGAAAGAAGACAGAGGGGGCAGTTGGAGCGGCGCAGCGTCGGAGTCGGAGCTGGAGGCGCGCGTCGGAGCTGGACGAGCTCGGAACTGGACGACGCCGGAGCTGGACGAGCGTCGGAGCTGGACGACAGCGTCGGAACTGGAGGACCTCAAAACCGTTGTGCATCGGAGCTGGACGACTGAAAAAACGATCATCCAGGGAGTGCGAGGCAGCGAGAGTAGAGAGAGAGGAGAGGGAGTGGAGACGTGAGAATAGCAAGATTTCCGCGAGAGGGGGGAAAAATTAGGGCAAATAAAGCCCAACGGGAAGACAAACTTACCCTTAATGAAGGGTAGGTCAAAAACGCGCCGCGATTTTCGCGTTTCTGGCCGCTCTGCTCCGCCACCGACACGGCCGCTCCGGCCGCGACACTCATCTACGACGCGACAACATCCAAATGGCGGGGTCGGGCCGCTCCGCTCCAGAGCGCCGCGATAGCGGCCGTTCCGCCCGCTATTGACTACTATGATTATGGTTATTATCCTTACTATTAATTAGGGATATGATTAGATTAGTTTCCATAATATAAGAGATTAGTATCTCTATCATTTATTGTATTCACTCTATAAATAAGATTGGTGTGCGTACAACAACACACACAATTCCTGAATCACAACAATTATTAAATAGCCAAATATTTTTTGCTTAAAGTAGCACTGTTATGCTATGCTTTGAGAAAAGACACAAGATGAAATTAATATATTACACAGTTCAACATAATCATTACTTCATATGCATTTTGCTTGTAAACAACTGCAGAAATAACCCTTCATATAGGCAGATCATGGCCATGATTGAGAAATGACTGTATTAAATATATGTATGATGTTTGATTACACCAAAAAAACCACAAGTGCTGCATACACTGGGTTAAAAAAAATGAAAAAAGGTCATACATTCTTTGTGTCATGAGGCTCCTTAGCAACCATTTCTATAGTTACAAATAATTCACAACAGAAAACACAAAGAATTCCTTATATGTAAGATGCATATATGTAATTCCAAGGTTTCCTTTTCAAATTTTGTTTCATAGAATAAAATAGAATAAGAATTTAATAAGAATGCACTGCAATGTAAATATCTTTTACACTGTCATCCAATCAAAAAATTCCCACGTATATTGACTTTTCCAATAATTATTTTAAAAGTCATATCTAGGGTGATTTCTACTTAGTTGACAGTCTAAAAAATTTTACAATGATAATGTATTAAATTAATCTCATAGAATAAATTTATTAAAATGAAAACTTAAATGTATAAGTAAGGAGCAGACAGGAAAATAGACAGAGATAGAGGAAACTGGATGAGGCTCATCATCAAGGAGTTAATTGATTAACAACTAAATTTAAAAAACAAAAAACAAAAAAAACAGGGATAATAATTTTTTCCTGTACAGACTGGGGAATGCTAACTAACCTCCTTCCTCTTATGTAGATGCTAACATACCACCATTTTCATCGGACAAAAGTAGCATTCTATATCTACTATTCATTAAAAAAAATTACAGAAATTTAAGTCCTTTTCTAGCGCCAATGGAGCAATGTAATAGTCTTTTGAGACTTAAAATCATTTTTCTTCCTTTGACTAACCTTCCCACTTCTCTTGGGAGCACAACTATTCCACAAAATTATAGCCTTTGGAAAATGGAAGTAACAAAGTCACAGGGAAACTTCTAAGATTTCCCATAATTCCAATTTCATGGACAACAAGAACGAGGAAGTTAGTATTCCTCATGCATGTACACAAGGGTAATAATCCCCTTTTTGTTATTTTCATTTTAAAATTGATTTAGAAATTATAACATATTCTTCTCTTTCTTATGTATTTTAGGAGTATGAATGTGTGTACTTGTGTGGTAAGTGTTGGAATCACATTTTCTTCCTTTCTTGATCATTGTAAACAGAAAATATTGAAGTTGCAGTAAAGGAGAATCTCTTTTCTCATAAAGAAAAACACAAGTATTCTCTACTGTTCTGAAGACAACCTAAACCTCTAAACTATTACCAATAGGTGGCTTGTATTTAGTTTAGGATTTGACCTGACATGTGAACCAACCTGAAAAACCCAGTATGTATGTAGGGGTTGTTTGTGGGACAGATTTTCCTATGTCCCTACCACCCCAAAATTTTGATAGGGTCAAATTTGTGAACCAGATACAACCCGATTAAAACCTGATAATATTTGGGACAAATTGGATCAACCCGACATCAACAATATATTAATCTTAACATTATATACCATTAAATGGTAGAAGTAAGAAAAGTATACACCTACAATTAAGAAATATTTTATAATATAAATTTTAAGATAAATGATATCACTATTAATATTGTATATTGTATGATATAGTTAAAACATTTATTATTAAGAGTTTAAGACAAGAAGTTGTATCACTAATACCTAATTGTTTAAAAAATTATATATTTTTTAAAAAAATATAACATTAAACTGGGTTAGGACAACCACAAGTATAGCCCGAACCCATTCTCAAAATACACCAGATCTAACTTCTTAAACTTGAACCCATCAAAAGTCCCTTCGAGCTAGGCCTGGCCGAGTTGGTGGGACAAGCCAGGCCATGAACAACTCTACCAATATGTATGTTCTACCAAATTAAGTATTCCACAGTGCATATTTGGAATATTACTGATTTAGGAATATTACTGTATTAAGACTTCAAGTGATGGGCTATTCTTGTAATCTTAGGCATCTACTGTGGTAGTAGACCGATGGCCATAGTTCACTATAAGGTAACCAACTGGCAATGTTTCACAGACAACACAAACACAACCACCACAAAGTAGATATATATACAATAGTTAAAAACTCTTAAATTGACTGTCTCATGAAACTGACCTGTCTCTTTCACTGTTTCCGTCCAACTTTTCAATGGGCTGAGACCTAGGCTTCAAATTCAGCTTTGGGCGCTGTCCTATCTCCTTCCCACTTTCAGTCCCAGCTGATACAGGCTTCATAAAATTGGCATGGCCATGCGCCTGATAAACAGCTTCAACATGGCCAGAATCATTAACCTGACGATTACCCTACCATGAAACAAATAAGAGAATTCATGAAACAAATATAAGAATAAATAGAAGCTGACCACCCGATCCTCCTGCCAAAATAAAAAAATACTCTTGTAGAAGGGAATCTTATAAGCTTAACTTGTGAATACCTGTGTATATTCCATAACAGCAGGTTCTGAACTTTCCAGTGGCTTTACCCTTGGCAGCAACTTCAGTTTAGGTCGCTCAATAGGTTCAGAAGGCATGGGGTGCTGCAAATCAGACCCAACAATTTTGCTATCATTTCGAGCCAGCTGACTCACGTCAGAGTGATAAGGTGCAGTTGTCGGCCGAACATCTGAATACCTGGAAACCCCAGATCTTTCATAATTCAACAACTCATTCCTACCGCCCTGCATCTGATTATCAATGCCTAAACCCCTTTCAGCATGTCTAGCTAGCATTGCATCATAATACTCCTTTTCACCCACTGCATCCACCCTATTATAAACACCAACGCCATTAACATTGGCACGTGGTCTATTCTCCACTTCAGGAGACCTAACCACCTCAGCATCCGTCTGATAATGCACAGCCTTTGACTGCCATCTACCAGAAGACACCTTCTCAAGCGCACTAGCATGCGCCAACTTCGAAGCAGCACTAGCACTAGACCAAGCTGGCTGCTCCGGCTCAACAGCACTTGCCACTTCTTTCCTCATTGACCATGCATTGGGATAACCACCACCACCACCACTACTACCAGCAGTTCCCTGCTCCTTACTACCTCCTAAACTCTGAGGATTCATCCCCACATGAGCCGCATCAGTAAGCCTCGCCGAGTATGAATTACCTGTCCCAACCGGAGTTTGAGACACTGGAGCCACTTGCCTGCCCAATGAACTCCCTCCCAGTCCATACTCCAGCCGCGCCTCAACACGAGAAGGCGGCCCACGGATGCTCTCATCACTGATTGTCCTCCTTGGAGCAGAAACACCATCAAGGGGCTTCCTCTCATCCTCATCAAAATTCCTGCCAATTGGGGCAGTGTGTGACAGAAACGGAGTTTTGTCGTCATAATGCCTAGTCGCCGGCGACGTGTGTGGCCGAGACCAATGATCCGACCGGCCCATCCCCGTCCCCCACGCCGACGGCCGATCATAACCAGGACGATCTGAAGCCCTCACAGTCCTGCAAAAAAACGAAATTAGGGGCAACACATTACTAGGGATTGCACAAAGCGACAAACAGATCCATCAATGAAAAAACCTCATCACACCAAAGGAAAAGAAAAACTATGCACAATTGGAATCCACAGATCTAATCCCTGTCTCAAACACCTTTTTTTTTTTTGTTTTCACAACCACAGCATCAACAGAGGTACCCATTCGCAAATAATCGAAGACAAGTCAAAGCAAAACGGAAAAATTAAAAATTTATAATCATATGTTGAAAACAAGGGGAAAAACAATAAAGGGGAGGTGCTTACACGCCGGGAGCAGAAGGTAGAGGGAGATCAGAGGGTATGGAGCCACCATGGAAGTCCTTGAGCGTCATGGTGTTGCCACTGACTTTCTTCTTCGACATTCTTCCTTTCTCCCTCACAAATTATTAAAAAAAAAAAAAATCAGAAAGAGAGAGAGAGAGAGAGAGAGAGAGAATCGCAATCCCAAAGCCTAAAACTGATTGAGGCTCGTGGTTGGTGTTGGAAGCGAAGGGGGGGAAAGGGGAAAGAGGGAGGAGGGCAAGCCCAGGAGTGAGAATGGAAAAGAGCAGGAACAAGAGCGCGATTACGATTGGTGATGGATTTGGGAAGAAAGTGAAGAAGAAGATGGGTGAGTAGTGTTTGTGTGAGAATGATTGCGAATGATATTTGATTGTGTTCAATTTTTTTTTTTTTTTTTTTTTTTGGGATTGTTATTGTGTTGTACGGTATAGTGGGATTGTCCATAGGATGTTGCCACGTAAAAGGACTAAACTTTGTCATTGTAGGATGCAAAACGAAAATCCTCCGATGTATAAAAAAGATGTTTTAAGAGATAAAGAATTATTTAAGAGATATTTTTCAATAATTTTTATATTTGTATAAAAATTATATAAATATCCCTCAAAAAAAATTATATAAATATCGGATCACAAGATTTTAAAAGATAATTTTAATCTGAATATATCTTATTAATTTTAATAAATTTTAAAATGTTTTTAGAAATATTATGATTTTTATGATTTTTTTTAAAATTTAAAATTTGAATTTTAATCCAAACTTTGTAATTCAAATTTTAATGAATTTTAATGAATTTATATTATAAGATTTTATGGGTTTCAAAAAAAAACATGGATTTGTAATACTAAAATATTTAATTAAAAAAATATAACATAAATAATAAAGAAAAGTAAAATCAAAATGATTTTTTATCTTTTGAAAAATAATTAATTTTATCTTTTTGATAAATTATTGACTTTAATATCCTCCTAACTAACATTTCTTCACATATTTAAAAAGTTATATTAGTCATTTATGTATTGACATATTCTCTTTCATACATTTAGATCTGAATAATATATTTAAAATTATGATTTTCATTAAATAATATCATTAAAGATAAATATTTTTTTACTAATTCTATTAAAAATTCATCGAAATAACATTCTTTACAAAGAAAGTTATTTAATATTACATACTAATAAAAGTTTAACTTGTGTCTTAAATAGAAATAGAGGCTGACTTAAAAATTGTGAAGCGTAATTTAAAAAAACTAAATATCTTCTCAATCATATTTGAAAACTTCATTTTCATTTTGAGGATTTTTAATATATGTTTCAAAATTTTATATTTCAATATTAATTTTTATTAAAAATAAATAGTTAATTTTTAAAATTTTAAAATAGATAATATTTAATAATATAAAAATCATTTTCAATATTTAATAACTAAAAAATAAATATTGATAAATTAAACATGAATTGATAGATAAAAAAAAGATAGAAGAAAAAAAAAGATAAATGAGAGAGATGAATAAAAATAATAAGAGAAAATAGATGGAAAAAAAATGAGAAAAGGGGAAAAGTGAAACAAAAAAAAGGTGGGAGAGAAAGAGAGAAAAGAAAGAAGACAAAGAGTAAGAGATAAATGAGATATATCAATAAAAAAAATAGAAAATAAGATGGAGAAGAAAAGAAGAGAGAGAAAAGCAAAAATGACAGAAGAGAAAAAGAGAAGAAAAAAATATGACGGAGAGAAGCAAGAAAAGTGAGAAAAGATTTAAAAGAGGGAAAAAATAGTAAAAATAGAATAGGAAAAAAATCCTACAAAACTTTCAAGATTTTTGTGAGATTGTTTGATAAGTGAATTACATGTAAAATGTACTAAAAAGTCTTACAAAAATTATTATTTAAAATATCCATTGAAATCTTTATATTTTCTAATATCAACATATTTTTTTAAGTAAAAAAAAAAGTCTTAATTAAATACCACCAAATTTTGACGCATTCCTAAAAAAGCATTCATTGTCTTTATTAAATGTCACATGACTTTTTTTATATTAAAAAAAATCTTGATTGAATACCACAAGACTTTTTTATAATAAAAAAATCTCTTAAAATTTAATAAAATCTTAATCCAATACATCCCTTTAAGTTTAATAAATTTTACTATAATTAACTTAAAAGATATAAACCAACACAAGTCAGTACAAGTGGTTAAGGTCCCAAATTGAACTTTTACTTTTAGTTTAAATCTCTTTGATGTTATTTTCCCTGCTTAGTGGACAACCCTTCTTAGGGAAGATGGTTCGATCCCCCTAATGCCATTTTTGTTACAGATATAATTGCATAAGAGCTAGTTAGTAGATTTATTAGTTTTGGTGTCTATATAAAGGCTTGATGTAATTTTTTTGTACACATATGATATATTCATATTTTCAATAGATTATTTTTAGTTTATTTTATTTTCCTCTACTTTACACCATGAATACAAAAAAAAATCTATTGATTTTTTCATATTCTTTTTTTTAAAGAAATTCAATTTGTTACCCTCTCTCTCACATGTTAGCTTGGGTGATTTTGAGAAGTACTAGTTGCATCGAAAAAATACACATGCTTGGTGTTGTGAGTTTTAGGCTCCAAGAAGTTCAAATGTCTTTTTCATGTTCCTCCAGCATAATCTACAAGTGTATTATAGTTTGTATCAGCGACTTGGTTTTGGTGTCATGGAAATTCCAATTTAGCATGATCTTGGGAGGTTCCACAAACATTTGTGATTTTCTTGAAGCATTTTTGCACTTTCATTTGGCTATTTTCGTTCTTGGTGGATGAAGATTTTTGTTTGAAGATTCTACATGGTTCCATAGTTATCTTCTTGATAATTGCTTCTTATGCATACCAAGTGTTCAATGATTTACTCCTTTGATGATTTTAGTATTCCTTTTTTTTTGCTTGATTTTTAGCTTCTATCATGTAAGAAGGTTAATAATTAATTTGTTTTATTTTTGTCTTGAGTGATTACGATTATTTTTGGCCTGTGCTAGTTAAGCTTTATTGCTTTTGCCTTATGGTGGTTAAGCATTTACTATTGTTACTTTTACTTGTTAGGTGGTTAAGGATTTTTGTTTTTGTTAAGTAGTTAAGCCTTGTGTTATGCCTTTTGCTTAATGGTTAAGCTTTTGCCTATTGAATCTTGATTATTTTAGTTTTTATACACTTTTAGTTGATATATTTTTAGCATCTTTTGTTATATTTTACTTTGTTTTGCTACTTGTATTTTTCATCCCAAGTTGGACATGTTGTAAACACATTCCAACTCGTGGGACTGTTAGAGATATAATCATATAGGAGTTAGTTAGTTAATAGAGTTATTAATTTTTGTTGTCTATTCAATGGCTCGATGTAATCCTATTGTACACATATTCATATTCTCAATACATTGATTTTTAGCTTATTATTTTATTTCTCTCCTCTAAACCATGAATTCTCACAACTTTACTCGCTTGGTGGACAACTCTCCTTAAGGAAATCTCTTGGTTCCTAGGGGCTAGTTAAGTATAATTGTAATTAGGTGAAACTATTTGCAATTTAGACTTGTGCAATAATCCTTTAAATGAGACTTTTCTGGTAGTCTTAGCATGTTATTGGTGCCTTCTGGTAGTATTGGGAGAATGTTCTCATTCTACCATTTTTTTCATAAAAAAGAAAAAAATTAAAAGATATGACTTAATTGATTTTCAATGTTAAATTTGACACATTACACAATGAAGAAACTCTTATTAAGGGTTGAGTTAGTATGCACATAATCACAGGTTCAAATTTTCTTCTTCTTGTTGTTGTGATTTTTAAGACTATTATTAAGACATGTAATGATCCGACAAATCATTACACTTACTACAATACAACGACTAAGTAGCAAAAAATATAAACATCGTTTAACCTAGGATTCACATGTAAGTAGGATCTAAATATTCAAGCAACAAATATATGTATAGGGTGTAGAAAACATAAATCAGTCTTTACTTATAACAACTTGAAAACAAAAAGCCCCTCTTTGAGATTACAACAAAACCATGTGTGTCTATATACAAATACCAGTATTAGAAATCAATAAAATCCTAAGCTTTCAGTCAAGCATCTATATAAAGTTGTAATAGACAACCTCCACAAAATGGCATCTCATGTATGGCAAACCATCATATTTTCCCTCTAACCTAATCATGACCTACTCACATAACAAGTATGATTATCACAGTCCAAAACATGAAAAAATAAGGGTAAGCTTATGTAAAAATATTCAATATATAGTATAAGAAGCAATAAGCTAATTATTTGAACACCATCAACTTAAACAACTCAACAACAATTATAGCTCAACTAGTCAACATAATTAGTTAACCTATAAGATTAACATCACAACATATATGTGTGTGTGGAGAAAAGATAAACACTAGGAGAGGAGTTGAATAGTTTATATTAAAATTCGCACATTTTTTGTAATGAAGTAATAACCCTAGTCAGATAAAGCAAGAAAAGCATTTAGATGGAACATTAGATATCTTTATACTGATTCGTCTCAACCACCGAGACTACTTCTAATTCTCAATCCAACCAGATTGAGTTTCACTATCCTTACACTTTTGGCTCAACCATAAGTATTAATTGACATGTTTTTTCAAGCAACTACCCAGGTATTTTTTTTAACAACAAGTCTCTCCATGCTTAACAACCAAGTATTACTTTTTAGTTAAGTCTCTCCTGGCTCAAGAACAAGTATTCCTTTTCAGACAAGCCTCTTCAGGCTCAACCTTATAACAATGGTTATGAAGGTTACATAGAAGTTGTGTTCATCTCACTAAGACATTATACAACCAATTATAGAAGAATGAATGTTTACAAGAAAAAATAGATTGACAAAGAGTGGGTTTCTATACAAATGCATCTATGTAAAATTAGCATCTTTGTCTTTTTTGTGCTTTGAAACTTCTTATATAATAGCTTAGAGAAAATGACCATTACAACACTTTGAGTCCAACTCATAAGTTTGTTTTGTCTATCTTCATATTTCCATGTGATTGTAGGTGATTACTTGACTTATTTAATGTAAGCATTAAATGTATTTCACCAAATGACACCTCTTATCTGATTAAGGAGGCTACTTATTAACTTTTCATACCAAACGAAACTTGTAAAAGCAATGTCAGCACAAAGCAGTTATATCTGTGACTTTATCTATTTTTCTTTGTGATTTTAGAGATTTGGTTCTGATGGAAAGCATGATTCTTCTCTTTAACAAATTTGTGAGTTATGAGATGATTTTCTGATTCAATTTGTTAAGGAATCAAACATTAAAACAAACTTTGTCATTAGTCT